GTGTCTGAGAGTTTCTGATCGTTTGTGTGTCTGAGCATGTTTGAGAGTGTCTGAGAGTTTCTGAGGTTGTGCAAGAGTGTCTAAGTGTGTCTGAGTGTGTCTGACTGTGTCTGAGTGTGTGCAAATGTGTCTCAGTGTGTGCGAGTGTGTGTGATTGTGTGTGAGTGTGTCTGTGTGCGAGTGTGTTTGAGTGTGTGCGAGTTTGTTTGAGTGTGTATCAATGTGTCTGAATGTGTCTGAGTGTTTGTGAGTGTATCTGAGTGTGTGTGGAAGAGTGTCTTAGTGTGTCTCAGTGTGTGTGAGTATGTCTGTGTGTCAGAGTTTGTCTGAGTGTGTCTCAGTGTGTGCAAGTGTGTCTGATTGTGTGCGTGTCTGAGTGTGTACGAGTGTATCCAAGTTTCTCCAAGTGTATCTGAGTGTGTCTTAGTGTATCTGAGTGTTTCTTAGTGTATCTTAGTGTTTGCGAGTGTGTGTGATTGTGTGTGACTGTGTCTGTCTTAGCATGTCTGCGAAAGAATGCCCTTCCAACCACGAAAAAAAAGACCTGATCCTCCGTCTCTCGCCTTCTGTTGATGCAGCACTCTCGGCACCACGTGCACAGCAAGAGCTTTCTGGGCCGGCACCTTTGGTCTGGGAGGAATTTTCATCCGTATTCAGTTTTAGCCCTCGGATGGCCGAATGCAGCGCGACTCTCCTCCCCCCGAACGACTGCCCTTCTAGGCATGAAAAAAGGCCTGACCCTCCGTCTATCACTTGCGGTTGCTGCGCCACTTCCGGCACTACGTGTACAGCAAGACCTTTCTGGGCGGGCACCTTTGGTCTGGGAGGAATCTTCGGCCGTATTCAATTTTGGCCCTCGGACGGCCAATGAAACAGAGCAAAGCCTGAAAAGTTAACTTAGTATAGCAAAACAAGGTTTGAAGAGTTAACTCAGAATGCATGCTCTGAGCAAAGGCATAAAGAACTGATTTTCAAGAACAACGGAGATAATAAATTCATTAAGGAATACGGACACACTGACACAAAGACCATGAAGAGAACAAAATGCTAACATAGACAAATGGAAAGAAGACAGAGGAAGATAAGGAAAAGGAGATGAGCCAGGGCCTAGCACTCTTGCCAAATATTAGAAACTTCTGCCAAATATACAGGAAAGTCAGCCAAAATAGAGAGAATTCAGAAGTTTACGTGAGAAAGAGGAGTAGATTCAGGACCCCTGAGGCTGAAGTAACAGGATGTACCCTCGAAACTCTCCCCAAATTGATGACCACACCCCTGACTCCACCCTAACTCTGTCTGTTATGAATATTATAACTAGATGTTGCAAAACATAAATATGTATGAGATGATGATGTAATCTATCACAAAAACTGTATAAATAGTGCAGCTGTTCACTGCCTGCTTCGGAACTCTGTGTCCAGCGCGAGCTGGGAGTTCCCCAACGTTGCAATAAATACCTCCCGCTTATAGACTAAAAACTCTGTCTCTGAGCAGTCTCTCTGTGCCTTTTTGGGGGCATAAAATTGGCTCACCAATTTAGGAACGGGGCTCTTGCCCTTGAACAACTGCCCCTCCAGCCAGGAAAGAAAGGCCTGACCCTCCGTCTCTCACCTGCCGTTGGTGCGCCACTCTCAGCACTACGTGCACAGCAAGGGCTTTCTGGGCGGGCACCTTTGCTCTGGGAGGAATCTTCGTCTGTATTCAATTTTTGTCCTCGGACGGCCAATGTAGGAAGGGGGCTCTTGCCCGCAAACAACTGCCCTTACAGCCACGATAAAAGTCCTGACCCTCCGTCTCTCACCTGCCTTTTGTGCACCACTACCTGCACAGCAAGAGTTTTCTGGGCGGGCACCTTTGGTCTGGGAGGAATCTTTGTCCCTATTCAATTTTGGCCCTCAGATGGCCGATTTCAGAACAGTGCTCCCGCCCTTGAACGACTGCCCTTCCAGCCAGGAAAGAAAGCCCTGACCCTCCGTCTCACCTGCCATTGGTGAGCTACCCTGAGCACTAGGATCACAGCAAGATCTTTCTGGGCGGGCACCTTTGGTCTGGGAGGAATCTTTGTCCATATTCAATTTTGGCCCTCGGACGGCCGATTTAGGAATGGGTCTCCTGCCCGCAAACAACTGCCCTTACAGCCACAAAAAAAAGCCCTGACCCTCCGTCTCTCACCTGCCTTTGGTGCAGCACTCTCGGCACTACGTGCACAGCAAGAGCTTTCTGTGCGAGCACCTTTGGTTTGGGAGGAATCTTTGTCTGTATTGAATTTTGGGAGGGATCACCCTCAGACCCCTGGTCCTCCCCCCACTGCCGGTACCATCCCTGGGAGCACCTCCAGGCCCCGGTACCCCCTGGACCACTGGATCACCCCCAGACCCCTAGTACTCCCTGGACACCCGGTACTGCCCCCCAGACCACCCCCAGCCCCCGGTACCCCTGGACTGCTGGTACTGCCCCCCCGATCACCCCCAGACCCTGATACCGCCCTCAGGATCACCCCTAGACTGCCAGTACCCCTGGACTGCCTGTACTGACCCCTGGGATCACCTCCAGACCCCAGTACCCCCCAGACTGCTGGTACCACCCCCCAATCACCCCCAGACCCCACTACCCCCAGACTGCCTGTACCAACCCCCACATCACCCCTGGGGCCACTTCCAGATGCCAAGACGCCCCCAAACCACCCCTTAGACCCGGCTCCCCCTTCCCAGTACCCCCCAGTATTGCCCCCTCCCCCTCTCCTGGTACTCCCTGGGGGCTCCTGGTGCCCCTAGTCCCCCTCCAGTCCTCCCAGTGCCCTCCCGCCATTGCTGTCGGGACTCCTCTGGTATAGCCCACCCCCCAGGGAGAGCGCCAAACCCCCCCAATGCCCCCAGTTCTCCTTCAACCAGCCCCTCCCAGTGCCCCCCCAGCCCCATGGCCTGCAGACCCAGGGTGCCTCAGTCCCCCCAGTCGATCCCAGTACCACCCCACACCATCCCCAGGATCACCCAGTGCCTCCCAGTACTGTCCCAGGTCCTGCACTGGGAGCTGGGGTGGGACACCCAGACCCAGGGGGTTCACCCAGAGCCAGGGGGGGACAGCCAGTGTTGGGGGGGACACTCAGAGCAGGAGGCCATCCAGAGCTGGGGAGGGGGACACCCAGAACTGGGGGGGACACCTATACCCGGGGGGGGACGCCCAGAGCTGAGGGGGACGCCCAGAGCTGGGGGGAGACACCCAGAGCCAGGGGGACACCCAAAGTTGGAGGGAGGGGACACCCAATGTTGGGGTGGACAGCCAGACCCAGAACTTTGGGTGACACCCAGAGCCGGGGAGGGGGCACCCAATGTGTGGTGGCACAGAGACCCCAGTGCCGCTCTGGGGGTCCCCAGTGCCACGTGGGGAGTCCAGGTTTTTTTTTTGGCAGGGGGGCTTTCCCCCCTTTCCACTCAAAGCCCAGTGATCCCACAGGTGATGGGGGAACACCCTGAGGGGTCCCAGGACACGTTGGGGGGACACACAGCACAGAGGGAGGGGAAATTTAGGCCCCCTGCCCCCCCCAGCAGCTATACACCCCTGTGAGGACCCCCCCAACCCCCTTTTTGGGGGGGCTCCCAACCACGCCAGAGACCCCTCCCCCCTTTCAGCCCCCACTAAACACCCTACTCCGGGGGGGTCCCCCAAAACCCAACCTCTTTTATTACAACAAAGCTGTACAGTTTGCAGGGGGGGTCCCGCAGCCCCCTCTACCCCGAGGGATAGGCCTTGATGATCTTGACATCATCCAGGGGCCGGTCCTGGGCATTGGTCTCCACCATGGCCAGGCGGCCCAGCACGCCCATGCCCTGGCACACACGCCCAAAGATGCTGTGCTTGCCATCCAGCCACTGCGCAGGGCCCAGCGTCAGGAAGAACTGGCTGCCGTTGGTGTCCGGCCCCGCGTTGGCCATCGCCAGGATACCGGCGCCTGAGGGACACGGGGACGTGGGGACAGGGACCTCAGGGGGGGGACATGGCACCCCATGGCCAAGGTCTTAGTATCACAGGGAACATGTCACCTCATGGATGGGGACTCAGGGACATGTCACCTCAGGGATGGGGACACGGGGACATGGACCTCAGGGGGAGGACATGGGGACATGGCACCCCTTGGCTAAGGTTCATGTCACCTCCAAGGATGGAGACAGAAGAGACATGGCACACCTTGGCCAAGGTCTTGGTATCATGGGGGACATGTCACCTCATGGATGAGGACTCAGGGATGGGTACACAGAGAACATGGCACCCCGTGGCCAAGGCCTTGGTATTATGGGAACATGGCACCTTATGGAAAGGGATGGAAAAGACATGGCAACCCATAGCCAAGGTTCTCGCATGATAAGGGACATGTCACCACATGGTTGTGGTCCTGGGGGACATGTCACCCAATGGATGGGGTCCTGGGGGAGATGTCACCCAGTGGAGGGGTCTTAGGGAACCTTAGGAAGAACTGGCTCCCATTGGTGTCTGGCTCTGCGTTGGTCATTGCCGGGATCCCGGCGCCTGAGGGACACGGGGACAGGGACCTTGCGGGGGGGACACGGGGACCTGGACCTCAGGGGTGGGGACATGGGGATACAGGGACATGGACCTCAGGGGTGGGGACACAGGGACACAGCACCCCATAGAAAGGGACATGGCACCCCATTGATAAGGTCCTGGTACCATGGGGGACATGCCATCCCTTGGATGATCCCCCCTGGATGGGGTCAGGGGGGACATGGCACCTCATGTTGGGGTCCTGAGGGACACAGGGACATTTCAGTCCAAGGATGGGGACACAGGGGACATGTCACCCCATGGCCAAGGTTCTCGCACGATGGTGGCCATGACATTCCTATGGATGATCCCTCATGGATGGGGTCTTTGGGGATATGGGGGATGTGTCACACCATGGATGGGTCCTGAGGTCCTGGTGGATATCCCACCCCTTGACCAGGGTCCTGGGGATCCCAGGGGCCCCAGGGGGTCTTCCCTGCTATAGGTGAGGTCCTGGGGGGATCCTGGGGGTCGTGGGGGTCCTAGGGGTCTTCCCTGCTATATGTGGGGTCCCAGGGTCCTGGGGGGTCCTGCCCTGCTATAGGTGGGATCCTGGGGATTCTGGGGTTCCCAGAGGTCCTGCCCTGCTATAGGTAGGCTCCCAGTTTCCCAGGGGTCCCAGGGGTCCAGCCCTGCTATAGGTGGGCTCCCAGTGTGCCGGGGGTCCCCCGCCACTCACCAGTGAACTTCAGGTCAGGGTGCAGCTCATCCTCAAACTGCTTCCCGTAGATAGAGGCACCGCCACGGCCTGGGGGAGGATTTGGGGGGTCAGCAGGATCCCTGGCACCGGGGGGGGGGTTCCAGGGGGGTCCCGGGGGGTGTCCCATGCTCACCAGTGCCCGTGGGGTCCCCACCCTGCACCATGAAGTCCTTGATGACGCGGTGGAACTTGGTGCCATTGTAGTACCCGCGGCGGCTGAGCTCGGCAAAGTTCTTACACGTGCGGGGGGCGTGCAGCCAGTACAGCTCCAGCACCAGGGATCCCATCCTGGGAATATTGGGAATACTGAGAATGGGAATGGGGCTGTGCAGCCAGGACAGCTCCAGCACCAGGGATCCCATCCTGGGACACTGGGAATACCAGGAATGAAATGGGAACAGCACTGGGAATGGGGGCTGAGCTGCCAGTGCAGTTCCAGCACCAGGGATCCCATCCCAGGAATGGGAACACTGGGAATGGGAATGGGAATGGTCCCAGGAAATGGGCTCACCCCACTGTGACTCCACGGGATCAGGGCAGAGGCACAGTGGGGGGAGGGGAGGGGATCGGGGAGCAATGAGGGGCAACAGGACACCGGGAGGGCAACCGGGACTGGGAGGACTGGGGGATAACGGGGCTGGGACTGGCAAACACCGGGAACAACGGGACATGGTAGGGACACTGGAGGGGTCTCCAGTCCCGGGGGGGTAACCGGGGCTGCCCCGACTAGGAGACACCAGGAGCTTCTCCGTGCCCACCGGGGAACCAGGCGCTGTTTGGAACACACCGGGGGTCATGGACACCGGTGGACACTGGGGGGGGGCGGGGGGGACACCGGGGATCACGGACACCGGGGCTGTTTGATACCCGAGGGTCTGGGGGCTCACAGACCCCGGGGACTGCCCGGTCCCGGGGGCTCATGGACACCAGGGTGGCTCAGGAGGGACCCTGGGGGTTGCCCGGTCCCGGGAGCTCGCGGTCAGTGGGGGCTGCTCGGTACAAGGAGGGACCAGGGGGACACCGGGGGCTGGTGATAACGAGTGGTCTACGGGCTCATAAACCCCGGAGGTTTCTCGGTCCCGGGGGGGGGGGGCAGTATCGAGCCCCGGGCCCGGGGGGGGGGGGGGGGGGGGTGGCAGCTCCTGCTGTCCCCGCGGCAGGGGGCGGGGCTGGGGGTGGGCGAGGCCTCTCCCGGTCCCGGTGCCGGCGGGGGGCCCGGGCCCGCTCCTTACGTGGTCTCCATGGACACCGTCGGGGGCTGCCACGAGTCGGGGGGCACGGCTGGTGCGGCGGCCATGGCGGGCGCGCGCTTCCGGGACACGCCCCCTTCCTGTCCCTACGAATGGAGGGCGGGGCGAGCGGGACAGGGACAACCAATCAGTGCGAGGTGCGGAGAGGAGATTGGCCAATCGGTGTCGCGGAGTAAGTAGGGCCAGCCAATGGGTGCTGGGGGGCCGTTGAGCCGCAAGGGGCGGGGCGGTTCGAATCAGGTCACGCCCCCCGCGTGAAGCCACGCCCCCCGCGGCGCGCGCGGAGCGGGAGCTGGGGGCGGTGAGAGGGGAGGATGGTGGAGGGAATAAGGGGGGGACATGGGACCGTCTTGGGGGGTCCAGGGGGGTTCCGGCGGGGAAACCGGCCGGGAGGGCACGGGGGGACCGCGGGAAGCGCGGATGGACTTCCCCAGAGCGGGGATGGGGTGACGCGGGGTCGGAGTGCGGGGCTGGGACCACCCAGAGGGGGCTGAGACCACCTTAGTGTGGGGCTGGGGACACCCAGGGATGGGGCTGCGGGGCTGGGAACCCCTGTGGTGCTGGGATCCTCTTACTATGGGGCTGGGACCCCCAGGGATGGGGGTGTGGATCTCGGACCACCCAGAGGTGCTGGGACCCTCTTAGTGTGGTGCTGGGACTCCCAGGGATGAAGGTGTGGGGCTCGGACCACCAGGGATCGGGATGTGGGACTGGACCACCCGGTGGGGCTGGGACCCCCTTAATGGGAACCGCGGGGATGGGGGTGTGGGGCTGGGACTCTCCTGTGGTGCTGGGACTCTCTTACTGTGGGGCTGGGACCCCCAGGGATGGGGGTGTGGGGCTGGGACCCCCTCAGTGTGGGGCTGGGACCCTCAGGGGTCAGGGTGAGGGGCTGGACCCCCAGTGGGGCTGCGACCCCCTTAGTGTAGGGCTGGGGACCCCCAGGGTTGGGGGTGTGGGGCTGAGACCCCCAGGGATCGGGATGCGGGGCTGGGACCCCCCTAGTGTAGGGCCGGGACCCCCGGGGATGGGGGTGTGGGGCTGGGACCCCCTCAGTGTGGGGCTGGGACCCTCAGTGTGGGCCTGAGACCCCCAGGGATCAGGATGTGAGGCTGGGACCCCCCGGTGTGGCCGGAACCCCCTTAGTGCGAGGCTGGGGACCCCCAGGAGTGGGAGTGCGGGGCTGGGACCCCCCCGTGGTTCTGGGACTCTCCTAGCATGGGGTTGGGGACCCCCAGGGATGAGGGTGCGGAGCTGGGACCCCCCGTGCAGGAATGGGGTGACATGGAGTTGGAGTGCGGGGCTGCGACCACCTTAGTGTGGGTCTGGGGACCCCGGGGAGTGGGGGGGTGGGGCTGGGACCCTCTTAGGATAGGGCTGGAGTGCCCCAGGGATGGGGGTGTGGGGTTGGGACCTCCCAGTGTGGATCTGAGGACCGGGGTGGGAGCTGGGACCCCCCCACTGTCGGACTGGGACCCCCAGAACTGGGAATGTCGGGCTGGGACCCCCATATGTGGTACTGGGGACCCCCGGGCTGGGGGTGCGGGACTAGGACCCCCAATGTGGCACTGGGGACCCCCAAGGATCGAGTTGTGGGGCTGGGACCTCCCCAGTGTGGCACTGGGGACCCTCAGGCTGGGGGTGCGGCACTGTGAGTCCCCCGGGTGGGGGTCCCCCGTGTCCTCTCCCTGTCCCTGTCCCCGTCCCGATGACGCGGAGCCTGGCGGTGCCTGGCACTGGCACAGGCGGTGCCACCCGGGCACTGGCCGGTGCCACCGGGTCCCCAGGGGGGTCGGGGACACTGAGGAGGGGTCAGGCCCTGGCGGGGGGACCCCGCCGGGGTTTGTGCTGACCCCCCCGCTCCCGCAGCAGCCCCGGGCCCAGGCGATGGCCGAGGACCGAGGTACAGCAGTGACAGTGGCGTGTCCCCTGTGTCCCCTCCCCGTGCAGGGGGCCCGGGGCTCGCCCCCAGTGTCCCCCGTGTCCCCTCCCCGCGCGGGGAGGCAGGGGCTCACCTCCAGTGTCCCCCTAGATGTGCGATTTGTCACCGAGGAGAGCTTTGACTTCGGGATCCTGTCCCCCTCTGACAGGTATGGGGGGG